CGGTAGACGAAAGGTCCCTATGACACCATGTGACTATGATAATTGTGGCTCCCGGAGCAGCCACTCGAGCCAACTCACTAACAAACTGCCAATTTAAGTAGAGTGAAATTAGAATATGTCAGTGTATGTCACCTTTGTGAATTCAGGAATATTAAAGATTTTTTTTAAGAAAACAAGAACCTTTAGTTTGTCAGGCATGTGTTCTCCACTCTCCATTGACCAAACTAGGTCAAACTTTCCATCAGGAAAAGGTTGATTCAAAGCATCCGCAACTTGAAATGAAACCTGCAAGCTTTTCATGCTTAGTTCAATAAGTTTATTACTATTACATTTCTGCAACTAATAGAAGCTCATGTTATGCAACGTTTTTTTCATCAAGGATAAGCAAAATTTGTCCCCAATTTTTTAGATGAATAAATAATGATTGTTACCTTGTCAGCTAATCCTTGGGCAGCAGCTAGGGCTTGAGCCCTTTCAGCTTGTACAGGGCTTAGGGTGATGCCATGGCATTCAGCTCCATATTTTTTTGCTAGGTACCTTGAGCTACCTCCTATGCCACACCCAACATCAACTATGGTTTTGGGCTTCTTTACTGGATCATCTGCAAAATAACAAGTGAGAAGGAAAAGGGCAACTCATGAGATCGATCAAGTACGATTTATTCTTTCCATGTGGTATCTTATTATTATTATTTTTTTTTTCAAATTGAAGGTTGTGAATCTCAGAAAAGTTAACCAGAAATACATAATCGCAAAAGATATCGTTCACAAGCTACTGTAGCATGAGTTAATCAATGGAAATAAGTTCATTCGTAAAGGTGAATGTGAAATATATAACTAAAACCTTGATTGATTCAAATTATCATAGATATCATCACTTTTTTGTCTCTAGTGAAGTACAGAAGTCGATTTTGAAGTTATGCGGAAGAATTACGAAGAGATTGAGGATGAAAATTAAATTTGAAGCTTCGGATTTGGAGAAATATTAGGTAGAAAATGGATTGATCGAACTAAAAAGAAGAAAGTAGAAAAATATTATACCAGGAACAGAGGCAAAAAGTAGGCTTTGTTCGATCATACGGATCTGAGCAGCGCGGTGGTCGGAGAGTTCTACGACGGCATCGGTGTCGTAGAATCCGTGATGCATGTGTTCTCCCCATATATTCTCCCACATCCCCGAAGACTCGTCGTAGAATTCTGCTATTCCTTTTTTAAGCTGTTGTTGCTGCTGCTCATCTGCTGCAGTCGCCATTGTCATCGGAGGAACTGTTGCATCAGCAACCACCGTACTCATAACTCCTTGAGTGACTGCAGAAGCTGCCTCGTTGTGGTGTTGGTATTGCGTCAACAATGGCACGTAGCAGAAGAAATGCTTTTATTTATGGACGAGTGGCCCAAAACATATTTTATAGTATCTTTATTTATTGGGTTTTTAATATTATATTATTTTTATTATTATATATATATATTAAAGTTGTAAAAGAAAAGAATAGTAAAGTTCACATACTTTGTCCAGCTTTGGCCCCTTGATTTACATATCCGGTCCTGTACTTCTTTAATTAATTTATTCATGTCCTTTTGTTTGTGTTCATTCAACTTCCCATTTTTTTGGCAGAATTTGTCTCTGTATTATTGTTGGAAGTTAGTAATACTAAATTTGGATGTTTTTTGACAACTTTGTTCATTATTCTTTACCAATTTTGACATTTTTGGTCCTTGCAATCAATATTTTTACACTTTTTTTGAACCTTTTAATATTTAAAGTTTGGCCACAAAACTTTAACGGTTTGACAACTTTGATCCATTTTCTAAAAAGTTGCTAATTCCTACCCATTTAATTCTTTAGCCATTTTCACACTTTTGGTCCTTGCAGTCAAAACTTTTACATTTTTTGTCCGGGGCAAAGCCCGGACTTTTCATCCTTGCACTTTCTATGTCTGTCATATTTATCAATTCGGAAACAACATTGAAAGCTTCTGGCCCCCGCGTAGCGGGGGTAACCTTTCTAGTTTTTATTATTGATATTATATTATTATTTTATAGTATCTTTTTTTATTGGTTACTAAAATGGTGAAATGGAATCAAAATAGAGAAGAGAGAGACATAGTACTCGATGATCTTATTAAAGAATTTAGGGAACTTGTTAAATCAAGTGATCAATTTAAAAATGAATAAATATGATGTGACCTTTTTACTAAGGTAAATTACTATTATGAAATAATAAATTTTGTTGTTCAAGTCAAACAAGATTAAATAATCCAAAAGAAATATAAACTCATATCGTATATTCTAATGTGTGAATTAGGTAAGCTATAAAATGAATACTGTTACATAGGGGAAAGAGGTTGAAAGTAATACACTCACAATGCCATTGGTAATGGTATCAATGAAGGTAAATCATAGGTACTAGAAAACAATAGCGGCAAGGAAGTGAATGTACCCAACGTACAAGATGATCATGAAATTACGATGTTGATTAGAATATGTGACGACTTTTTAGCATATAGCAAGCATATATTACAGCAAAAACACATTTTAAAGATTAGACAATTCTTGAAAAACATCATTAGCTTATATTCTAACATGTATTTCTAACAATTCACATATCAACGGATATAACAAGTATGAATATATTGGAAATCATTTTCTTTCTAAACTTCGGCTGTCTGTACGCATCACATCTTTCATTCTTTTTTTCAAAAATGTTTATAAAATCTTTTAGCCCCTAGTTTGAGTTTGAAATCATGCTAATGTCCATCCAAATCATTCAAATCAAGGCTTTAAGAACAACTTCTAACGTCCCAAATTTCAAACGAAAATTTCCATTTTTAAAATAAGATAAACAATTCAAAACATAGATAAAAACTCATTTGTTCAACAATCATAAAAAAAAGTATCCAAAATTTGAGTAATATTAATAATAGCGGGAGTCAAGAGAAATCTATCACTAATGCATGTGTACAGTCACATCGCGTCCTTCTTTTTGTCAGAAGAACAGTCTGAAAAATATTTAATCAACAACTATATGCATAAAGCTTAATGAGTTCCCAAAAATATCACATACTACGATACATATACATTGTATATAAACAATGGCTTACAACCTTGTGACGTTTCGCTAGACTCGCAGCCTAGCATCGTGAGTTCCGTCATCAACAGTCGACTCGTAGTCTAGCATGGTTCTGTCGACGACTTTGGATATCTAGGCTCACAACCTAGTGTCGTTCCACCACCAACCCCTCAAATATGATACATAAATGCACCATACAATCAAACAACATACATACAAAAGACTAATATAGTCTACTTATGTAATTATATACTAACAACACCTACATCCTATCATGCAAATGATATATATTGTCACATGCAGTATAACTAGAAAACTCAGCTGATATGAAGAGTTGAAGTCACAAGCACATGTCCTCGAAGGAAACAACTACACGAACTACCTAAATGTCAATCTAAGACCAAACCTCAGTTTAAAGCTCAATTTTATCAAAGTTTAACAAAAAATCAATACTGGTTAAAAAGTCAACGGTCAACAGTCAACACGTCGCGACCTAACTCTTGGTCGTGTCATGGACACTAGGTGACAAAACAGTCACAACAATCCTTGAAGCTTCGCATCGTGACCCTTCCGTGGTCGTGTCGCGCTTTACAAGTAAGAACTAACTTCTTGTTAAGCACTTAATCTCTTGAGACCAAGGCTCATATTCTCAAACATGAACCCAAAAAGGGTCTTAATGGATAAAGTTTCAAACTTTATCCAGATTCATGGCTCAATCACTCAAGATCTCAAACCCTAACACAAAAAAAGCCTTAAATGACTTGATTCCTTTTCATGGGTCCTAGGGATCCCAAACATGCACTCGAATGATTCTAGAATATCCATAAATCATCCTAAGTCAAACATAATGTTTTGGAGTTCTCCCAACTCCAAGAACATCAAGAAATGGACCAAAACACATCCACAATCCTAGATCTATAGAAGAAATGCATAATGAAAGAGACTTCTAACTTACAATGCTCCATAAACAAAGTATAAGGTTGGATCTTTTCTGAAATGAACTCCACAGAACACACCAAGAACACTCAAAGGGGCTAGGTTTTCTCTTATAGAGGTGGAGGCTGAAGATAAGATAGAACCCTAAATGTTTATGCCTTTATATGTGGCATAAGGCCCGAGGCTTAAAGTTTTGGGTTGATGCGGTTCCTCGTCAACCCACACTTGGTTACGTCGCTACTTATCGATGTGGCTCGCGTCATGGGCTAGGTTTTCTCGTATAGAGGTGGAGGTTGAAGATAAGATAGAACCCTAAATGTTTATGCCTTTATATGTGGCATAAGGCCCAAGGCCTAAAGTTTTGGGTTGATGCGGTTCCTCGTCGCAACCCACACTTGGTTACGTCGCTACTTATCGATGTGGCTCGCGTCATGAAGTCCAAAGCACACTCCGTGAAGCCCAAAACCCAATATCCCTTAACATTAAAACAATTTGCTTGATAAATTAAATCATACATGAAAAGTATGTGTTACAATATATTAAAGCTATAATGAACTTCTGCCATAATGACATTCTTTGAGAAGAAAAATATTTGAGAAACAACATAAATAATTTCTACAAGTTTACTCTAATAATTATTACAATACTAATACATGATAGGATGGATGAATAAAAGGCCATCAAATATGGTTTGTTATTAGGGTAAATAGCACAAAAGACACTAAGGGAGTGTTTGGTACAAGGAAATAAGTCAGGGAAAAGGAATCGATTCTTTTTCTCTTGTTTGGATAATAAAAAAGTAAGGAATTGAGAAATAAATCAATTCCTTTTCCATCAAATCCATCCTCTATTTTTAAAATAGAAAAGAGAGAAACGAAATAAGAAGTCGTGATTGAGAATCAAAAGAAAAAAAGTGGAGAAATCAAATTGCCCCCCATTCGAACTCCACCACCTGCAATCGATCAAGATTTTTCAAGCGTGGCTACTGGATTTTCATGCAATCGGCCCACGTAAGTGATCAAAACCAATCTTTTTTGCCCTACATACGACGATACATAGGATCAAAGTCGGCAGTACATAGGATCAAAGTCATTCACGACTGTTGCTCCATTCACGCATTATTTGTAGCTTCTTCTTGGGCGATTTTGGCAATATCGTCTTCCAATTCAAGGTGTGATTGTTAATCTTGATATCAATTCTTCCAATTAAAGAATTTTGTTTTTTGAATTGTGTTAAAATCTTGCCAAGATCGACTCTTTGAACATGTTTGAGTTCTGTTTTTTATGTTAAAATCTATTCTTGAAGTTAAAATCGATTATTGATATGTTAAAGTCAATTGTGTTTCACTAGATAAATGTTGTCTGTCAAAAAAAAAGACAACGAATTTCTTTCATTGATTGTAATCTGGTAACATTGTTAACAGGATATGTTTTACCTGTATGTACAATGGAAATTGTTTTACTATTGCATACTTTTTTTTGAATTTTTACCTTACTTTGAATCACCATAAAAGCTTCATACAAGCTCGTAATGATGCGATTTTTTTTTCAAGTTGTACTCATCTGTCTTGTCTACATTTTAGCATAAAAAAACAGCATAACTGGTTAAGTTTTGGTTGAGTTATACAGCCCCAAACAGGGATTGTTATGATTGTTGTATAATATTTCAGTACTTTTTATAAAAATTTCCAACTTTGAACCATCATAGACGCTTCATACAAGCTCGGAATGATGCAAATTTTTTTCATATTGTACTCCTCTGACTTGTCTACGTTTTAGCATCAAAAAAACAGCTTAATTAGTTAAGTTTTGGCTGAGTTATACAATCCCAAACTTAACCAATTAAGTTGAATTACTATTTCAACCCCTAAACTTAATTGGTTAAGTTGAATTACTATTTCAAGCATTTACTAAGTAAACTTTTTTGTAGGCATGGCAGGGTGAAACAAACACACATGGACTAACGAAGAGGATGCAAAGTTAATTGAAGCATTGTTGGAGTTACATGTATCCAGAAAGTATGGTGGTGCCGACAACGGATTCAAACCCAGTTATTTGAAGGCAATGCAACAATTACTAGATGTAAGTCTTCTTAACTCGGGTTTGAAAGTAGAGCCACATATTAAATCGAGGATGAAGACATGGAAAAACCATTTCAACATCGTGCACGACATGGTATATGGAACAAACACGAGTGGATTCGGCTAGGATACAGATAAATGTTGTGTTACCGCCGATGCTGAAGTTTGGGATGAGTACGTAACGGTACTATAATGATTATGTTTGTAGTATTTTTAGCATCATTAAAACATATTGTAAATGAATAGTAACCAATTAATTTGGTACCATTCTAGTAGAGTCATAAAGGTGCTGCATGTTTTCGCGATAAACCATTTCCCCAATTTGATAATCTATGTAAAATCTTCGGTAAGGATAGAGCTACTGGTCATGGAGCTACTGATCTTGGTGAAGATGTAATTGAAGAGACACAAAGAAACTCACCTATTAATGTGGAAGGGTTGGAAGATATTGTTGAAGAGACGCAACAAACTGCTCGTATCAATAGTAAACGCAAAAGGCCTCCAACGAATGACACCGAAAGCTCTAATAAGGAAGCAGCGAAAAAAATAAAAGAGACTTTCAAGGAGGTTGGTGAGAAACTTAATGAAACAATATACAATATAGGAAGACAAGAAAATAAGGAAGCGTGTGATATAATAGATAAAGTTATCGAAGATATACAACGCATGCCAAATATTTATGTCAAACAGCGAAATAATGCGATTGACATATTTAGCAAAGATCAATTTCACGCCCGAGCATTTTTTAAGATCACAGAAGAAGAAAATATTTGTTACATGGAAATGATTGCAGATGGGTCAATATCATGATTATATTATTTGAAGTTATGTTTTTTTTTTTGTAGTTTTTACGAATAGTGAAGTTGACTTTTTGCACATTCTATATTATACATAGTTATGTTTTTTTAGTTGTTAGGAATATTGAATTTTACTTTTTTGCATATCCTACATTGGACATAGTTTATGAATAGTATGATTTTCATATTTCTTAAAATCAATTTGTAAGTTATTTGTTTATATTAGAAATATGTTTTCAAATACAAGATGTATATAAAATAATATTAATTGATTAGAAAATAAATTATTTAGTAACAATTAATATTAAAATAAAAAAAATTAAAAACATAAAAACGCATATTTTGACTAATTAAGATGTACATCCTAATGCATTTTTATATAAAATGTTGTTTGAAAATGAATATACATGATAAAAAAAACTCATTTCCATTTCATTGATTATAACAACCAAACAAAAGAAATGATTTTCACAAACATTTCTCTAGTGAATTCTCAGTTCTACCAGACAGGGGAGTTAATTCTCTTTCTCTGCATTTCCATTCTCTGTAGCAATTCCTTTTCTCTGTACCAAACGCACCCTAAGTTTACACCAAAATTCTAATTTGATACTTTGTTTTCTTTTGTCTCAAATTTGACACCGTGTTTTCTAGTTTTTTACAATTTTGAGCACTTGATCGGTCAACCAGGTTACCTGCTGAGGTGACATGATGACGTGTCAATTTTTGATGACATGACATGCTGACGTGTCAAAATTGATTTTTTTCCCATAAAAGACACTAAGTTTTCATTTTTTCGATTTTGACACTAAGTTTATTTTTTTTTCAATTTTGACACTCTATTTTTTTGTTCCAAATCGAATATCATTTTTTCCAATTTTGTTCAATGTTGATCATTTTCCATTTGAAACCGTATAATATATTTTTTATTACATTTTAAACCGTATAAATACATTTTTTCGTTTAAAACATGGTTGTCAAAATCACGATTCTGGTCGTAGGATCTTACGACCCTACGATCCTAGGTATTAAAAACGAGTCGGATCGTAAATGGATCGTATTTGGGGTAGGATCGCATGTAGAATCGTAGGATCGAGATCCGATCCGATCCTACCTTCCATTGATTTTATTTTTTATTTTATTTATTTATTTATTTGCAAATGAAACTTTATTTACCATTTTATGTCTTTACCCTTTTTCAATTTACCGTTTATCATTTTGTGTTGTGACCTATGACTAATATTTTGAAGTTTTTATATCGTTTGAACAAAAAATTGAATGTTTGAAATATTTTTCATGTTTTAAAAATTATAAATTAACATTATGTTTTATTTTGTGGGATCTTTGGATCCCGATCCCGATCTTCCAAACCCAAAAAGATCCTACGTAGGATCCCGATCTTGAGAACCTTGGTTTAAAAACCACATTTTTTTTATAAATACAATGTTTTTTTTACATTCAAAGCATAACGTTATGCATAAATATGCATTAGTTATATCATGAGAACCAAACTAACCAAAAGCTTCGAATAAGATGTAAAAATTTCACGGATAGCAAACCTGACATCTGGGTTTTGATCGACTTACACGCCTTCAAACATCCAAAGTCATTTTAAAGTTGCGTGTTTAATATAAATTAAGGTTTTTATATAGCTAATACATATTTATACATAAAATTATGGTTTGAATGTAAAAAAAATAATAATAAAAATTAAAATAAAATTAAAAATTTTTTAAAAAAAACTTTGTATTTATACAAAAATATGGTTTTTAAATGAAAAAATGGAATTTATATGGTTTAAAATGTATTAAAAAAATATTTATATAGTGTCAAATGAAAAATGGTCAACATTAAACAAAATTGAAAAAAATGATGTTCGATTTGGAACAAAAAAAAACAGAGTGTCAAAATTGAAAGAAAAAATTAAACTTATTGTTAAAATCGAAAAAAGTGAAAACTTAGTGTCTTTTGTGGGAAAAAATTCAATTTTGACATGTCAACATGTCATGTTAGCATGTCACGTCATCATGTCACGTCCTAGATAACCAAGTTGACCGGTCAAGTGGTCAAAGTTGTAAAAAATGGGAAAACGTAGTGTTAAATTTGAGACAAAAAAATGCAGTGTCAAATTAGATTTTTGGTGTAAACTTAGTGTCTTTTATGCTATTTACCCTTGTTATTATTGAAATAATACAAAATTGTGATAGAAGTTATTGGTATGGATATTCAATACAAAACATCATGATGGAGGATGATTGGATGTGATTGTATTTGCCGTTATATAATAATGTTAAATATTGTATTATTCGAAATAACAAAAACTGAAAATTGAATATTGATTTCGAAATAATAGAAATTGAAAATTGAATATTAATTGAAAATACACATTGAAACACAATTGTTATTTTTTTTAAAAAAAAGGAAAAATAAAAACTCAATCAATATTAACCAAACGTGTTTTCTAAAATTTCTATAGAAAACTGAAAATGAAAATCTCACTTCTTTTTCAGAAAACTTTTTCGAAAAATCTAAAAACAATTTACACACCCAATCGTACCATGTTCCCTTTATTTTGATTATAACTTAAAACATACACTCATAAATTTTGATTTTAGAACAATGTTATAATAAAATAAAAATTAATGAAAACATTTTTTTTAACAAGCAACATATACTATCACCATGTATTTACTTCTCAAAATGCAATTTCACAAGCTATAACCAAATAATCCAGTTTTAATATTAGAGTGTGGGAGCATATATATTTAACTTAAACATTTGAGCATTTACTCGAACAAATCTCAAACGTGGATCACATTGATTGTGGCATAAACATTATCGTACCAAAACTCATATTTAATGCGATGGTAAAAAGTAGCTTGCCTTATTAAACCGTAAACATTTATTGAATAGAGTGGTCACCACCTCTGAATAAATCAATAAAGTGTATTCCCATGATGTCTGGTTACATCAAAAATTTATAAAGAAAGATTTTCAAAAATAGAAACTTCACAAAATATATAAATTCAGATATTCTTTTTAGAACGGCTCTCTATTTATAGAACTATATCAATCCATTAGAAAAAGACACCTTTGTAACTCCTTTATACCAAAATAAACATTTATAAAGACCAAGGTGTTGTTTGTTTTTTTAGAAAAACCTTTTCAAATCATTTTCTGTTGCGTGGCACGGCACACGCGCAGCACTTTCTCTCAGCAGTTTGTTTTTTGGAAGACTTCAAACTGCAAAACCTCTGCGGGTGTATTGCGTGGCGCAGCACTTGACTTGCCTCTTTGAAGTGTTTTTTTAGAATTTTGGTATAACTTATTTTTTTAAAACTTTTTTTTAAAACTTGTATTTACGGATTTGATACAATTTTTTATTATAGTTTCCACAAAAAATTTTAACATTTTTTAAAAAAAAAAGCTTTGATTTTTATAATTTTTTTACCGTTTCTGTTAATAATATTTTCAGTTTCAGTTTCATCTTTTTTAACGTGTGTAATTTTTTACGAACTTTGTAGATATCGTTTGCAATACTTTCTTAATTTTTTTTTTTTATTATTTTCTTTTTTATGTTTTTTAAAATTAGTTTTTTTTCTAGAATAAAGCTGTTAGCTTCTTTTATATTTTTGTAAGTTTTTTTTTTTTTAAGTTTTATATTTTTGTTTTTTTTACATGTTCTTTTTAGTATTATTTCAATGTTTTAATACTAGAATTATTAAAATTTCGGTGTTGAGAACTATTTAAGTTTATAAAATTAGTTTATTTAAATTTCAGTTTACTGCAGCAGTCTGCAGATGTTAAAAAACAAATATGCTTCTTATTATAGGTTGTAGCCGTTTGTTCCACCTCTTCTGCTACAGATGATTGCAGAGATGGTCCGCAGACTTCATGAATTTTCGCTTCGAAAAAACAAACAGCACTTAATATTCTTTAAAGAATATAAGTCCCCATGCTATGGTAAAACATGGTTTTTTATGGCTTATTACTTATATTCTTCGACCACATAATATTATTCAAAGTTATCTATCTATTATAGTATTTAATATTATTCAACCACATAACAAAGAAGAGGTGAAAAACAAAAAGTTTCTTTTTCATTGTTAGTGATTGTGATTGGAGATGAAAACGATGGAAGGCATAGAAGAGTCGTCGTTAGGCGTAATGAGTTTTGTCGTTGGAAAGGGAAGGGTGGGGAGGGGGCCGACACAAAGAAGATGAGCGATTGTGGAGGCAAGGTATGGGTGTTATGGTTTTATTTTTAGGTTAATAATAATAATAATAATAATAATAATAATACAAAGGGTAAAAATATCATTTTAACATAATTAATAGAGTAAACCTAATAGATGTCAACTCAAAGGGACTAAAAACACAACCAAACTTTGGCACAAAGACTATTTTTGCAAGTTAGAAACTTTTTTAAACCTTATACAAAGAAATTGCAAACCATATGAATAATTTTTGCAGTTTTCTGAATATTTAATAATCGGAAAAAAAAACTTTTTAAAAAACTTATGTATTGAAAAAGATTTATAAAAAACATTTTTTTTGTTATTGATGTAACAAAATAAATAAGCTTAAGGGCATTTTCAAATCACAACTTTTAGGAGCTTCTAACTTTTAAGAAAAATGTCAATTAAAAAAAAAAAACTTCGTTCAGCACTAAAAGTCTCTAGTTTTTAGCTAAAACAAAACTTCAAATCCGAAAAGCTATTTCAAATAGTGTTTAACAAAAACCTCTTTTATAATTTTGCAAATTGATTTAAATAGCTTTATTTTAAAATCAGTGATGTGTTTTTGATAAGTCTTTTTATTTAATTTTACATGTATTAAAAGCTTCCAACAACTTTTGTTGAACACTCGTAAACAAATAAAAGCTACAACTTCTCGCTTCCGGCTAGTCGATGAAAAAGGAAACAAGAAAAGGTACTTGTTAGTGACAGCAATCAACAAAAGGGAGCTCTATTTCACATAAATTCAAGTCCACAAAAAGAAAGAAACAAACAAATCTTACAATTGACAAAATAATATAGATGCACTAAATCCAATATACTTAGAAACAAAATCAAATTTTGTGGGCCAATTATGACAAATTCGTTGCTTCTAGATCTAGGCAAGAACAAGAAAATAACTTCCTTTTCTCACTTGAAAGGCAATTATTATTATCATCATCATAAAAATTATAAGCTACATATGCAATTATATAATTTTTGACACTTACTATACAAGATACATAAGTTGTTGTGAATTTGACTAAGAAGTGCCACCAGCTTTTGTAGATTCTGTGCTACTTGTTGTCATAAAAGATTCACCACAACCACACTGCCCTTTTGAGTTTGGATTAATAAATATAAATTCAGATCTGCAACCCAAAAAAAACTAAGTCGTTCTTTCTGTATTAAGTAAAAAAGAAACACAGATAAATAACCAAAATTTTTACCTGAGCTTGTCGTCCACAAAGTCCATTTTGGTACCAATAACATGCATAAGAGCCTTTGGATCTATCAATATCTTCACACCCTTTTCCTCAATCAGCTCATCAAATTTCCCTTTTTCATCTGTATATTTACAATATCAGTGCTCATATGATTACCATTGCAACTTGTAGCTCTAGAATGAAAATTATTAGCATTTAAAATATCAAACATAGTCCAACGCCATGGTTGTTAGTATATTACTTTCCTCGGCAAAATTACTATTGATTTTGTTGCAAGATTAACAACACCTGAAGACCATGATGAATGGATATACTGCTATTTCCACATTCTTATAAAAAAGAGCAAATATTTTACAGTGCGTTTATGCACCACAAATCATATTGATTCATGTGAATTCATTCGCAACCCAATTAAAATAAAAAACGATGAAGGTAGAGTTAGGAAGGTTTTGAAGGTGGATACAATGAATTACATATCCACCTTGAGGACAAGGTGGTTCTTCCAATCCAGTGTGGGATATTGCTATGTATCCACTTCAATCACGATTTTATAAGGGGTGAATTGGGAAATAAGAAAAATATTGAGCATCTTATTTGTGGAGGGGTATTTTAGGTATTCACTTAATATAGTTTGTTATGAAAGAATGTTTATAAGAAGGTAGTGGGAAGGAGTGTAGTATAGTCTTTTGTAAAAATATGAAATTATTCCTTGGGAAAGGCTATGCCCTTGAATCACTAGCAAGCATTAGGTTATCTTGTTCATCTGATTTTTGAGATTATCAATCATTATCAGAAGCTGATGTTGATGTTGTTCACAACATTATAAGCTGATGTGGTTGAGAACGTTATAAGTGCAGAATGCAGACCTAGATGTGGAATAGTTCCAACCATGAGGCATAATGACCATCGCCTTGATCAAGAAGGAGAGGAATCAAGTTCTTAGCAATTATGGTGTGAATGAGAACACTCAGTTACAAGTTTCAAATGTTTTTTGCTCTAGGAGGATAAAATCTATTCTCTATTTGATTATACAACAATACATGTTCCATATTCAAGTTGAACAATATCTGCAACTGATGCTAATCAAATATGTCCACATTCACACAGTTCATACTTTACTGAATATCATCTGTGTTTCTTAAATTGATTCATATTTTCTCGATTTCATGATTACAAATTTCGCCAAACTATTGAAACGAACCTGTTAGTCAAAAACCAATGTTAAGCGGGAAATTCTAAAACATTTCAGGCACTAAATTTCTACAAGCATCGATAAGAAGTCAAATTACCAGAAAATTAGATGATAGTCACAGAGGAAATTTTTGATAGACCTAACCTGCGTAATTTAGGGTATATGAAAGGCCGTTACAACCGCGAGCTTTGACGCCGAGTTTAAGGAAAGGGCGTTGGCGCTGCTGTAGGAGGTGGCGTATCCTACCCGCCGCCGCTTCTGTTAGCGTTAGGGCTTGCCGTCGCGTCGCCTTCACCACCCTCTCAGCCGCTGCTGCTGCCAATTTTGAAGTTGCCATGTCCCTCTCGAATCTCGATCGATGTTCAAGAAACCTCGGAAACTAACGGGAATTCCTTTCTACTTTCTATTTTGTGTTTTCGGTGTTTTACTAACCAAATGAAATTAGAATTTAATTAATATTTATATAAATTAGTATTTTAGAGTTTTGAAAAAAATGAAAAAAAAAATATTTTTTATTACCGAAAAGTTAATTACCTTAATAAGCAACAATATCCCACACTCTATTAGTCTATTATCCAAATATTTTTAAAAATAAAATATATTTAATATAATTAAATCTTAAATCTTACAAATATAAAATCAACATTTTTCTCTGTCTAATTTGTTGCTGATATTATTTTAACCTTTTTTTTTTACTTAATATAACTTAGAGATGGTTTTATGAATTCCATTTTTAATTTGCACATATCATGAGATTCACAAAACTTGTGCATAAAGTGCACAAAAATATACACCCAAAACACAAACTTTATGAATGCAATTCATAAAAAATTTGTCCAAACAATGTAACAAATAAAACTCGTCTCTATTTGCAACAAATAGTCCCTCCACTTATTATCCCAAATAAATAATAATAAATAAATAGTAATAATATTTTTTTAAAAGATGTCATAACATACATGTAAGTATGTAACTATTAAAAGCACAAGGTCACGAAGGCTTAGGTTCTAAAAAGTGAACATGGTTTGCTAGGCATATGGGCCTTTGACCCAACTATGTATAACCCCTCTACACCATGGCCCAATCTTTGACCCAAATAGAGGCCCATATCTTATTGAATCTTAAGCACACCTACATCATGTTACATGTACATAATAATTCAAACTCAAAATAAAGCTTAGGGTTAAGTAATAGGTGCATCATTGTACCAGGGTGGTTGAAAATATTCATTTCTTGGCCATAACCGATTTTCGAGGCACATACCAAACCAATGAAAGTCCCAAGTACCATCATGCATTCGGAAATGGTCTTCCACAACACTATCCAATAACAAATAACAAGCTTTAAGATTCTTAATGATGGTAGCTCTTGCTTTTTCTAATGCATGAACACCTTGGAGCACCCTTAAACCTTTCCCATATCTCACCAAATATTTGATTGGAATGTCAAGGTGTTCTTGGAACAAGCTGCTAAGCAAGAAGCAAGACTTTGATTTTTTGTCTTTTAGAAAATTAAAGCTTAACTCCGATGATGCAAAGATAATTGCACACATTCCTTTAACATCATTAGTTATAAAACTATTCTTAAACTGACATATTGATATTGCATCAAACCAAGCATTGTTTTCTCTTATGTCTCAAAACATGCCTGTCTCCGTTTTAAAGAGGAATACCCTTTTTTAGAAATTTAAAAATAATACTTGGAAAACTATAAATATTTTGTAAATGCATTGGATTGAAAAATCAACGACTCAACAAGTAAAGCGATTTGTTTTTGACAAATTCTTTATTCTGATCGGTCATCAAAATCAGAAATGTTGGTTTTTTTAATTCGACGCTCTAAAATCATTGATGTATTCAACAAATATTTTCTTTAATGGTTTTTCATTGATGGCATTTATCAAAATGGCCATCTATTTTAGTATTATCTCCAACAATTTTGTACAAGCAAAAAATAAACAACCCAAAACTAGACAAAAATGGAATCATCAAAACCTAAAACATACAAAATAGATTTTACAGAAGTTTGGGCGGAAATTACAGTGTTAGATGCCAAACTGTCTGTAATTTAAACTGCATCCCATTTTAACACAAGTGCACATCAGAAAAAGCAATCAGTGAAATCTATATGATTAGTCAATAATTTAATGACGTACAAAAAATTTGAACAAAATTTTGAACCTCATGCTATAAGACAAAAACGAAATACAAAATTTGTGAATTGAGGTGGGTGCTAATAGGGTCGGAACTTCCTTTCAGCCCTCATCTGTTGTATCCTTTTCTTGTCCTGCTCGAATTTGCTCTGTAGCATCATGATCTCTGAAAAACACACACACACACAATTTTATTTTTAGCATATCATATCGTATTTTATCAAGGGTTAGTTAGAGTTTTTTTTTTTTTGGGGGGGTTTACCGTTTCTTTGTGCCTCTCTTCTCTGAAAACGATAGAAAGTGAGGCCAACTTGGTCTTGGTTTTGTTTGTTCTTCTTTTTGGAGATGTTGTCCACGACAGCAGCCTGAGCAACAGACCCAACAGTTGTACCACTTTCCACATCTGTCGTCTTTTTCCTTCCTTTCATATGTGTGACAACTGTCCATCCACCTTCTGCAGCTTCACTCTCCCTTTCTTTTCTTTCCTGCATTTTCATTTTATATTCTACACAGTAAGTAACATGATGGATGGATAGATGGATTATTGATAGGCATAATAAAGTAGTAGTACCTTGTCCTTTTGTGCCCAGTAGTCAACTAAGAAGTCATTGATCCTTTGCAACAAAACCTCTGCCCCAGGTCTACCTCCATGGTATTCACCAATCCATCCTATCAGTAACCATCACAAGATGATCTTCAAGATTTGAATCAATGTATATATATAATAAATCTATTTGTAGAAAATACATACTTTTCATTCCTGTTGTCTCATCTTCATCCCCTGAGGAAATTTGATAAACTCCATCTTCATTGTCATTGGTGTTTATTTGAGAGATACTCTTTGACTTACCTATAAGGATGTAAGGTAAGATGGTATTTGTTAAGTAGATCAAACACATTGAATATACTGATTAAAGAAAAGGACATTGCGATTCTCTGCAATACATAATTCAAGTTAGAAAATGAAAGAAACAACATTATAGAGAGTTCATATCATACCGATTTGTTGGTTAGATTTGGCTCCAACTTCACTAGAGTGCAAAAGATGCTCAACAACACCATCTTCTTTTCCTTTCTTTTTCTTTTTTTTCAATTTCTTCTTTTTCTTGTCACTGGTTTTAACATCATCTGGAGTAGGGGGGGCAGCAACTTCACTCGTCTCCATGCCTTTTCTCTTTTTGTTTCTTGCAGCTTTCTTTGGAGAATTTGCACCATCATTATTATCTGCCAAAACTTAAAGGCATTATATTATGTAATGTAGCCATACAAATGAAACAATGCCTTAATGGGGAAAAAAAGAAACAGGACCTTATTAAATTAGTCTAAGTTTGTGAGTGCATACCATTTTGTTGGTTGACATCATCTTCACCTACATTATCATGTGGAACGCCTTCATGATCACCTCCCTCATTATTTTCTTTATTTCTTTTCTTTTTCTTCAATTTTTTCTTTTTGTCACTCATTCCAGCAATGTTTTTACCCTCATTAACATGACTAGTGGAAATAACCAATTCCGATGGCTCTCCTTCTCTTTTTTTCTTGTTCCTTGAAACTTTTTTCATTTTCTTATCTGAAGTTGCACCTTCTGTGATTCTCTGCTAAATTTTGGAGGAAATTATGCAATCAACTATTTAATATCATGAGTTCCCCACAGCATATATATATAAGAAACAGTTCGCCCCTAAACTCCCCAAAATGTAAAACAAAACGCATCTCCACCAAATCACCTCCAATTTCTTAAATATGTCCAACTCATCCTTCCTAAGTGGTTGATGGTTAGAGTTAATGTAACAAATGAATTACCAGGGTTCGTGAATGAAGCTGTGTTCCTTTGTCTTTTGCTCCTCCTCTTGCACGAGCTCTCTGTTCCTTCACCCTGCACATGCAAACTAGTTAGTTATTTATAGGCAATTGCTAGAAACTGTTTGGTAAAATGAGCGATTGGGACTTGTTCATCATGTAGATTTTATATTGTTTGATATGTTAACGCTTAATAGGTAAAATGAGCAAATAATTTCATCACAGATGTCATCAACTATACACCAGTTCATCAATCAAACTTCAAACTTCAAAAAATTTGCCTCACAGATTCCCTAACATCGGAGCATAATTCCATCAAATAATTTAGTAAAAAACAGCAAATAATCAACTTCATAACCGATTTCATTGTATGTTGGGGAGAACATTGCGACTTCATCATCAATTTCAGCAAAAAACAAGAGAAAAAAAGGAAAAACTGAAAGAACATACCTGAAGGCAACCTCTGCTGTGCGACGGCGGCGCTGGAGGTCTGGGAGGGTGACGATGGCTGGAGAGGAAGAGGTGGAGGAGTGGACCGTCGGCTGTAAGGCGAGAGAGAAGAGGCGACGTTTAGGTCAGGCCAATTTTGAAAGCGAGGTCGTTCCTCATTTGTTTGTAGGGTTTTTGAAAAACCCATTCAATGAGTTAATGGGTGTTAACTGTATTTTTAAAATTACTGATTTTTTAAAAAGTTAAGAAATTAAAAAAATGTTTGCACAATATTAATTTTTTAGGCAAAAATGTGACATTTTTTAAATGTACAAAATTTTTGTTTTTTCTTTAAAGTCAATAAGTAGATGGGAAAGCTATTTCAAACATACCCTGAATAATCTTTATAAAAAAAATTAAAATATTTTGGAAATTGACTTATAGGGTAATTATATTTTTTGTTTTGCTTATATTTAGGTAACTTTTTTTTGTGTATAGGTCTAGTTAACCAACTTGTTGGAAGTATTCACATATGACCATTATGACCAGTTGTGTGACAACTGAAATTTTTTGAAACAAGCAAGGTCTAAATTGTAACTGTCTACAAGTGAATTCACAACGTAATTTGTTGCAATAAAACTTTATAAACCAACAGGGGCATTATTTGTATAAGTAATATATATGCTTTGAAAATCATATTCGTAATAAACACTTGAAAGTCAACAAGATGGACCAAGAATTACGAAAATTCCATTGGCATTTAAAGTGTTATAGGCCTAGGACCCCACAACCCTAGTGATTTCGGTTTACTTAGGACCGAAATCAGTCAAATCACCCTTTAGTGGGAGTGACCTTCAGCTGGGAGAATAAACAAGAAACTGCCTTCCAAACGCTTAAGCAAGCTCTGTGTAGCGCTCCAATCTTGTCTCTCCTAGAAGGGACCGAAGACTTTATGGTCTACTGTGATGCATCCAAGAAGGGCCTAGGGTGTGTGCTTATGCAAAGAGGAAAGGTCATTGCCTATGCCTCAAGACAACTCAAGACTCATGAGGTCAATTACACCACACACAACCTCGAACTAGGAGCAGTGGTGTTTGCCCTGAAGATCTGGAGGCTCTACCTATACGACACAAAGTGCACCATCTTTACAGATCATAAGAGTCTTCAACACATTCTCAATCAAAAGGAGCTTAACATGAGACAACGACGATGGGTGGAACTACTAAATGACTACGAATGTGAAATTCGTTATCATCCAGGCTAGGCCAACGTAGTAGCAGACGCCCTGAGTCGAAAAGAATACTCGGGTCGCCGAGTAAAATCATTAACCATGACCATCCATTCACACCTGTCCGCACAGGTCAATGAGGCACAGCTAGAAGCCTTGAAACCCGATAACATCTCAGGGGAGGCATTGCGGGGAATGGATAAAAACTTCGAAGTTAGGGATGACGGAGCTCGTTACTTCATGGATCGAATCTGGACACCGAGATTCAGCGGGTACAGAGACGTTGTCATGAACGAGGCTCACAGGAAAAAATACTTCGTTCATCCCGGTTCATACAAGATGTATATGGACCTAAAGAAACTTTATTGGTGGCCAAACATGAAGGCAGAGATCGCTAGCTATGTGGGAAAGTGCCTGACTTGTGCTAAGGTCAAGGTAGAATATCAAAAGCCCTCAGGTTTGCTTCAGCATCCGGACATACCCCGAGTGGAAGTGGGAGCGGATAACTATGGACTTCATAACCAAGTTGCCCAAGACGACGGGTGGACTTGAAACCATCTGGGTGATCGTTGACATGTTAACCAAATCCACACACTTCCTACCAATAAAGGAGACCGACAAGATGGAGAAGCTTACATGGACGTACATTAAAGAAATTGTACGACTACATGGTGTGCCAATATCTGTTATCTCCGACAGAGATAGTAGATTCACTTCACAGTTTTGGCAATCACTCCAAAATTCCTTGGGAACCAAACTCGATATGAGTACAGCTTATCACCCTCAAACAGACGGTCAAAGCGAAAGGACCATTCAGACGCTGGAAGACATGTTGAGAGCATGTGTGATAGACTTTGGTAAGGACTGGGATACCCATTTACCACTCGTCGAATTCTCCTACAATAATAGCTATCACACTAGCATCAAAGTTGTGTCATTCGAAGCCTTCTACGGACGCAAGTGTAGATACCCTCTGTGTTGGGCTGAAGTGGGTGACACACAACTAGCAAAGAGGCAAGTGCCTGATAGCACACTCACCGGCCCAGAGATCATACGATTAACTACGGAAAAGATCGTCCAGATCTGTGAACGATTAAAGGCATCCCGGGATCGGCAAAAGAGTTATACTGATAAGCAACGAAAACCCGTGGAGTTCTAGGTTGGTGACCGCGTTCTATTGAATGTCTCACCCTGTAAGGGAATGATACGTTTTGGCAAACGTGGAAAGCTAAATCCAAGGTATATCGGGCCATTCGAGATCCTTGCTAGAATCGGCCTGGTAGCTTACAAACTCCGACTACCACAAGAACTTAGTAACGTATATCCCACCTTCTACGTGTCCAACCTAAAGAAGTGTTTGTCCGACGAGACTCTTGTAGTCCCACTCGGCGAAATCGAGGTAAACAAGAGTATACACTTCGTAGAGGAACCTGTGGAAATAATGGAAAGGGAGATCAAGAGAACGAAACAAAGTTGTATACCAATAGTGAAGGTCTGTTGGAACGCCAAGTGAGGGCCTAAATTCATTTAGGAGCGGGAAGATTAGATGAAACAGAAGAACCCATAACTTTTCCTCTAGTTGCAAGAACCTGTCCAAGATGCTAATTTCGAGACGAAATTCCCTCTAACGGGGGGATGATGTGACAACTGGAAAATTTTGGAACAAGCAAGGTCTAAATTGTAACCGTGTACAAGTGAATTCACAACGTAATTTGTTGCAATAAAACTTTGTAAACCAAAAGGGGCATTATTCGTATAAGTAAATATATATGCTTTGAAAATCATATTCGTAATAAACACTTGAAAGTCAACAAGATGGACCAAGAATTGCAAAAATTCCATTTGCATTTAAAGTGTTATAGGCCTAGGACCCCACCACCCTAGTCATTTCAGTTTACTTAGGACCGAAATCACCTTTTAGTGGGTACACACAAGACCGAAATCACATGAACCATATGGACCGAAATCATGCTAAGGACCCAAACTCCATGTCAAGACCGAAATCACCCTTAGTGGGTGATGACATGGCCGAAATCCTACCTAGGACCGAAATCACATGTGATTTCGGTCATACTAAGGGGTTTTCAATGAGTTCTCGCCTGGAAAGAAGATAAGGAGGTTTGACTTTATGATTAGATATTTCACCCTTTTCCAATAACAAAGATTACCCAACAAATATCCATGCATTACCCAACAAATAACAAAGTAAATGTCACCTCACTTCCCCTCCTTATCTTTGGACGAGATCACTCCATAAACCCCACCCATTCCATTTTCTCTAAGGTTTACTCCATTCTCTCTCAAGAAAGTTAGCCAAAAATCTTCCAAGGATTAAATCTCCAAGCTTATTCTTAGTATTTTGGTAAGTTTTTCTTATTAATCTAGTGTTTTTATACACTATCATGTTAGTTTCATCTTATTTACACATATTATTATGTGTTAAAACTCTTAGGATAACATCACCTTCAAAGAGTTCATCAACCACATTCAAGTGTTTAGGCTTGGAAATCTTCACACCATCTCTTCAAACAACCCACAAATCCACTCAAGGTGAGTTCATACCCCCACATTTTCGAGTTTTTCCTGTTTTTAAGGGGGGGGGGATACAAGTAAAACTTGGTTTACCACACAAATACTTGCAGAGTTTCATTCTTAGGTTAAAAATAAGGCATTATTTGCATGAGTTATGGTTGTTACTAGCTTTTATACAATTATTAGAGATATATTAGTTTTGAAATGCAAAACTAACAAAAACAAAACATAATCTATGTTATAAAAATCATAAGAAAAATTATGATTTGTAAAACTACAAGGTTTATGGAAGCTTTTTACCAAAATATAACTTTTCTAACAAAAAGAGTTACATTCTAGATCATTTCACCATTTTGTGGGTTACAACCCAAAAATATGATGTTTTGACCATACATTTTGACACAAGACAAGATAGCTACTATGTATTTATATAAAAGATTATATAAATAGTCTCAACAAACAAACAAGATAAACTATAATTGGTATAGTTTGGGGAGTCACAAACACCACATTATCATTTCGGAAGAAACATATAATTATTTAAAGGTATAATTTTTTTATTTACAAAAGAAAAAGGATTTTTAGTTCATCACACGTAAACTCATTAAATCAATTATTTATGAGACACGTCTTCATATACTTATCTAAGTACCAACAAAAGTCTTGAATTATAACCAGAGTCTCTTGGAGGGAGAACGAGACAATTGTGTATACATCTATATGGAACTGACAATCCCGCACCCTAGCTGCTAGCTACAGCTGGACCGGCAGGTCTGGGGTGACAAATGTCGTTAACTTTCCGACGCCTGAAGAACGTCACAACATGCATATCAGTCATAGTATGGTTATAAGAACTCACATGGGGAAACAACGACACATTTGGTTTATGGAGTTAACATACATTCAAGCAATTTTATATAAAGATAAAACTTCATAACAACATTTTTCAACACAGCATTACTTACATTTTTAGTCTTGGGATTAAGACTTATAGCTCAATTCAAATGAAAATATTGGATTTTCTGAAAGTATACGCTATCATTTTTACACAAGACAGTTACAAATCCTTTTCATACAAAACGCTTATGAATTCACCAACTTAATTGTTGACACTTTTCAAAATCACTTGTATTCTTAGGAAATCAGTAAACAGGTAACCACAAGAGTTTTTGGTGGATGGTACGTCGTCGCATCACGTTATTTACTTTTGTGATATGCAATTGATACCATGTAAACAATGTTTTTGAGCACAATGTAAACTTATTAAATATTCAATACAACGGTTGTAATGCTTTGATTCGCTACTATTCAGTTGTTATGATACTGTACATGAAAGTCATCCGCCCCCAGACGTTTCCGCCGTTCTGGTTTGGGGTGTGACAGATTGGTATCAGAGCATTGTTTATAGCGAACTAGGTATATCAAACCATTTAAGATATACAACTATAAATACAATGGGGCTAAAACACTCTGACGAAGAAGTATACTTTTAAAATATAATTGTATTTTTCTAAAAAGTATACGTACATGCATACATACTAGAAACATTGTCATAATAAGAACCGTATAAAAGTATTTAGAGGAGTTAAACACTATGGTTAAGCCTAGACAGTTATGTAATCATATATGCGATAAATATAGCCTGATCAACTATATTTATACGAGATATGACCAACATGTGTTTAGGAATAGTCGTGGTGGGCAACGAATCTATATGAGTATTTTAGAATACTACAGAATCATACACTTAAGCCTTTCATGTATTTCTCATATATCTATTCTCGCACAGACGACATGGCAGGATTTCACATGCCCGGAGACCCCTATTTTCCTAACCAGGGAAATGGTGGGTGGATCGAAGAGGATCCCGAAGAGGATCCTGAGGAACTAATGGAAGAAGAACCCAAAGAAGAACCCGAAGAGGATCCAGAGGAGGAGGAAGAAGAAGACGAGGAAGAGGAAGATGAGGACTCAGACGCAGAGTCCGAAGTCATAAATCCTCCTTACATCGCTCGAGTTCCCGCACACCGACTACGCTATCAGGGACCCACGCCCCGCTGGGCAGAGGACCTGGAAAGATGGAGCAGGCACTAGAGTGAGCAAAAACCAAACCGCAAACCGAAAAACCAAAACCGAAACAAAAACCGACGATGCGGTTTCTAGTTTTGAAAAAACCGCAAAAAAACCGAACCGCACCGATTTATATATATATATATATATATATATATATATATATATATATATATATATATATATGTGTGTGTGTGTGTGTGTGTGTGTGTGTAAAAGAATACAATAAATTAATTATATATATAGTGGATTTAAAATAATATATATATATATATATATATATATATGTGTTGTGTGTGCAAAAAAAATAAAA